GGCACCGGCTTCGGGTCCCCCTAGATGGGACCCCACCCCTCAGCACATCCAGCTGAGAGCGAAGATCCCAGTGGAACCGTGTTCGTCCCCGGAGCGGAGCCACGGCAGCCCCTGGCCTTGTCCCTCTGCTCTTGGGGTCCCATGGCCACCGGGGCAGGTGTTCGGTGCCAGGCCCCGGTGCCACAGTACATGGGAGGGACTCCGGGGTGGGGCTTGGGTTTAGTTGCCATGACGTGCGGATCTCCTGTGCGCACATTTCCAGCACAAGGTCAGACTCGTTGCTGCTCCCCAGGGAGGCGAAGCTGCCGCCTCCAGGGAGTGGTGGCTGGCCTCGGGCAAGGCAGCCTAGCCCTTGGGAAGAATGAGAGCAGGAGCTGGAGCTGCAGCCCAAGCAGGAGGAGCCGGTCCCTTTTGCTGAGGTGCAGGAGGATAAAGGTGAGCAAATGACGAGGGTGGAGCACCCAGAGCCCAAGTCTGCCCTTTGCAGGAGGTGACGAGGACAGACACATTCGGCTGCTTTCACGCTGGCCCAGGCCCCGGTGATATGGCAGCACCAGGTGTAGCCAATATTCCCCCCTTCCCACGGGGATCACAGAGCCAAGCAGCATCCAGGGACCCCAATACTCCCTGATCTAGCCCTGGGGCCGGGGAGGGGCCGGTGGTTCCCTGCCGAGGGAGAGGGGAGTGAGATCAGCGGTCCCTAGACAGACGGACCCCCTCACCTGCAGGGCTACAGCCCGGCAGAGGGTGCAGGTTTAATGCTGTGGATGGCCACCAGACGTGGTTGGTGGGTTCTGGGCAGGAGGCAGCGTTAATTCTAGGAACTCGGCACCTAGTCCCTGCAGGGGCCAAGTCGCTCTTTGTGAGCTGTGCCCGACTGGAGGAAGTCTCCGATGAATCTCTCCTTGCGGACACCTGATCAGGTGGGTGACTCAGAGATCCAGCCCACTCTCAGTTGAGGTCGGGGTGTTGTGAGATTGTTGCAGGAGGTCTGTGCGTGCTGCTACAGGGGATGCATCGTCCCGGTGGATCAGTGCGAAGGCAAAAGGTGGCAGGTGATAGAGACAAAGAGGGGCCGGGGCGGAGCGGGGACTGGGTGCTCAGATGAGATGTGGGAGGAGATCGGGGCTGAGCACAGGAGCAGCTGTTGGGGACTCAGGAGCCAGGCAGCATCTTGACCCAGCATGTGTCCCAGGTGCCCACCCTCCGAGAAGTGGACAAAACACAGGGTCCCGGATCGAGGGGAGTTTCTATGTTTTGTTAGGTTCCGATTTGGACCCAGACCAATTTAAGCGGAATGGTGTTCCCTTGGGGACCTGGCAGCCTGAAACTGACATGATCCTTGTCAGTTTCACATCTGCAATCCCAGAGCCCGGCCAGGCACACTGCCTGAGCACCCCGGCGTTTCCAGACACTGGGCCGGCTTGCTGCTCAGGCTCAGAACTTGGGCAGGCTGGGGAAGCCAGCTGGCCGGGAGTAATGAACCCAGAAGCCCTGGCTTGGACTGGCTTTCCTCCAGCTCTGCAGCAGGGAGCCTGAAAGCCCCGGATACAATCACAGACCCTGGAAGACCGGGGACCCCCACAGCCCTTCCAGAAACCAGGCAGGTGCCATCAAAGCCCTGCCTGTGACTGGCTGAAAATTCAAGGAACGCAAGGTGGTTCTGCAAATCATTTTGGTTTTGCTGAATGGGCAAAAATTCCTGCCTAGCTCCAAACCTACCTGTTCTGTTGCCCCCCCGTTTCCCCGCTGGCCCCCAGCAGCCCACTTCTCCATGAACCAGGCGGATACCGATCCATAGGAACAAAGCAATGGTCACACTGGCTCAGAACTGAGGTCCATTGAACCCAGGGGCCTGTCTGACAGTGCCTGGCACCAGATGCTTCTGAGGAATTTGCGAGAACTCCCGCCCCCCACCCCCCTGTCAGCTGATATGGGATAAAACCAGCCCCCGCCCCAAATCCTGTCTCTCGCTGGTGTCTAATAGAGATTAAAGCAGGTGGGTTCATGTCCCTTCCAGAATCTGCCAGCATTAACTAGCCTAACGTTTGTTACCCATTGCAATGTCCAGTCCTGCTTTGAATGCTTGGCCTCAGACAGTCATGTGGCAAGGAGTTCCACAGTCCAACCACATGTCGTCTGCAATAAGTATTTCCTTGGATGTGCAGAGAGCTTTGTGGGGGCAGGAGCCGGCTCTGCTTGTGCCCCTTGCTCACTGCCAGCCCTAGCGGGGACTCCTGCGTCATAGGCAGGCTGCTTATTCTGGGTCACCTCGTACAGATCGGACGTGCCATCTCACCATGAAGCTCCTCCCCAGGACACAAGAGCTGCAGCTTTGCCTAGGCATGGCCGTGGGGCTTGCCGTAGGATTTACCTTCATCTACGCCTTCAGGACAGAGCAGAGCACGTCAGCGGTGGTGCAAAGAACCCACAACTCTTATCCCCGCCAAGGTGAGGGATGGACACAGTCTTTAATGCCACAGCTGACCCCTCCCCCCAGACCTGGGTCAGGGAAATCCCCCTCCCAGGGTTGTTCGGGCAGATTTCACTGGTCCTGGGGAATGTACAGAGGCAGTGAAGCCCAGTGGGTAGAGCACTGGTCAGGAAGTCAGTAGTTTTATCGGCGTCTCTGCCACTGGCCTGACGGGTGACCTGGGGCAAATGCCTGCCTCTCGCTGAGCCTCGGTTCCTCCATCTGCAAAATGGGGCTAAGGCTGGTGCCCTCAGTGACCAGGGGATTTGAGATCAGTGGCCAGGCAGAGCTCCGTAAGAGCTAGGCAGCGTTCCTAGTGTGCAAAGGGACAGGAGCCAGGCACCGGTGCAAGGCGAGGAATCTCTGCCAGTCTCCCAGGGGTGCCGTGCAAGGGGCGGCAAGTGAAAGCCCTTGGGATGGGCACCAGGGAGTGAACCAGGCCTGTCCGCACCAAAGGAGCCAGGCTCTGTAGCCGGGACTGTCCCACTTGCCTCCATCACAGAGGAGGTTGTAATGCAGGAGGTTGTAATACGTGGGAGTGGGGGGATGGAAATGGCAGAGTTCCTGTGCTGGGAAATAAATAGGGCCCTACCAAATTCACAGCCATGAAAACTGCACCACAGACGGTGCTTTTATCCTGCACTACACAGATTTCACAGGGGAGACCAGCGGTTCTCAAACTGGGGATCCTGACCCAAAAGGGGGTCACAAGATTATCGTAGGGATTCGCGGTATGGCCGCCCTTACTTCTGCGCTGCCTACCGAGCCGGGTGGCTGGAGAGTGGCAGCTGCTGGGTGAGTGCCCAGCTCTGAAGGCAACAGCACAGAAGTAAGGGTGGTAACACCATACCAGGCCACCCACACTTCTGTGCTGCGGCTAGAGGCACCTGTGACGGGATCCCCGGGGCGCAAACCTGGGACTGCTGTGCCCCTTTAACTCTCTCACAATGCCTTGCTAATGACAAGCAGCAAACCCCTCCAGGTGCTGTGATCACTCAGCCCCACCCCCAGCTACATTGCACAAATGCTCCCTGAGCCACTCGTGAATCACAGAGAAAGGCACCAGCCAAATCCCCCCAACTCCCAGCACTGTACCCCAGGAATATCCCATCTTGCACTGCCCAAGATGAGCAGTGCAAATGTATTTATTGGTTCACCACTTCATCAATGGAAAGTGGACATACACCAGCCTTTGCAAACCTGAGTAGATTTACCAAACACTTCAGGCAAACTCACTGGTAAATAGGGTTACCATACGTCCGGATTTTCCCGGACATGTCCGGCTTTTTGGGCCTCAAATCCCCGTCCGGGGGGAAATCTCAAAAAGCCGAACATGTCCGGGAAAATAGGGAGGGGCCGGCGGGAGCCGCTCGGTTGGGGGGCCAGACTGGGCCGTGCCTCCTCCCCCCACCCACCCCCAGCTTACCTGCTGCCTGCTTCAGGCTTCCTGCGAATCAAATGTTCGCGGGAAGCAGGGGAGGGGGCGGAGTTGGGGCGGGGACTTTGGGGAAGGGGTGGAGTTGGGGTGGGGCCAGGGCCCCATGGAGTGTCCTCTTTTTGGACACTCAAAATATGGTAACCCTACTGGTAAAGATAAACAGTAAAAAGGAGTTTGACTACAGAAGATAGATTATAAGTGATAAGCAAAATGGTCAGAGTTAGTTACCAAAAGAAAAGATAACCACCAAGATAGAGGAGGAACTTTGTCACACTGGATTACGCAGGTTCTCTCACCCCACTGGATATTGCAGTTCATAATACGCAGGTTTCACCCTTGAAACCTGGGCCAGTCTCCTCTGTATTTTCCACTGCATGCATCTGATGAAGTGGGTTTTAGCCCACGAAAGCTTATGCTCAAATAAATGTGTTAGTCTCTAAGGCTTGGTCCACACTGGGGCGGAGGATCGATCTAGGAAACGCAACTTCAGCTACGAGAATAGCGTAGCTGAAGTCGACGTTTCCTAGATCGAACTAAGTTTACTTACTGCAGGTCCACGCGGCGCAGGCAAGCTCCCCCGTCGACAGCGCTTCCTCCTCTCGGCGAGCAGGACTTCCGCAGTCGACGGGGGAGCGCTTCTGGGATCGATCTCTACCCGCCGAATCAGGCGGGCAGTGTGGACCTAGCCTAAGGTGCCACAAGGACTCCTGTTTTTGCGGATACGGACTAACACGGCCGCTCCTCTGAAACCTTTCCTCTTGGAGTCCTCAGTCGTCTGAGCGTCCTTGTTGCTTGCAGCACAGGTGGGGGAGGGAGAAAGGCCGAGCATGGGCCCCCTGTGCTCTGTTTTATACCCTCAGGGCAAGTCTTCGCTGGCAACGTTAACCCCACCCCCACGAGGGGAATAGCTCCCGGCGCTGGTGCACTGTTGACATTGGCTCTTTACAGCGCTGAAACTTGCAGCACTCGGGGGGGCTGTAAGTGCCGGGGTAGACAAGCCCCCTACGTCCGTGTGCTTGGAGACCACAAGTCCAGGCACGTCTGGGTGGGCTGCTGAGGCTCCAGGCCAGCTTGAGCAATTCCCTTAGCATGGCGTATGGTGGTGAGTCACTGAATTGGAGCTCCCTTGCAGGACAATGGTTGTGTGACACCCGCCCGGGCATTGGTTACTTTCCTTGCGGTTGTCGCTGGAAAGCAAAAGATTCTCCAACTTCCTGACAACCGTACAACACAATCGCATAACTTCATATGCGCTAATGAGATACATATTGTGACAAGGTGGGTCCTGCGCTTATTGGCGGGTTTGCTCGCCTCAGAGATTGACGGCAGCCCTCAGTTTGGCCACTTTTGCCAGCGGCTCAAACCTGCCACTCACTCAGCTCACCTCATCACTGGCCAGCCTGGGGAAAGGAAGGAGAACAATCCTCACAGTCTCTGCTGATCCACCTAGTGGGTCAGGGGACAGGCCAGGGACCTTCCCTTCTGGTGAGACCCACAGTCCAGGTCAATTCCTCTTGTATCCAGGTGGGAGTTGGGAGGAACCCAGGCCCGCCCTCTACTCCAGGTTCCAGCCCAGGGCCGTGCGGATCACATCAAACCTGTGTGACAGCGACAACTCCCTGGGCTACTTCCCCACGGCCTCCTCCCAACACCTTCTTTATCCTCACCACAGAACCTTCCTCCTGATAGTGTCTGTACTCCTCAGTCCCCCAGCAGCACCCCCTCTCACTCCTTGTGGGCCCCTCACTGACTGAAGTGAGGTCCTTTTTAAACCAGGTGCCCTGATTAGCCTGCCTGCCTTAATTGGTTCCAACAAGTTCCTGATTGTTCTGGAACCGCCCCTGTTACCTTACGGAAAAGGGACCTGCTTAATCTGAGGCTAATATATCTGCCTTCGATCACTGTCCTGTAGCCATCTGGCCTGACCCTGTCACAATAGTTAGCTAGAACAATGGCTTTCAGCCGATCATAACCTTTCCCCACTACCTCACACAGCCTGCTTTATATGCAAGATCACAATTACATATAAATGAGGACTATGGGGGTTACAGGTGCTCCCCCAAGATATAGAATGTCACATCTCCCCCCTTAGAGGGTTAATCACTGACTATCCTGAAGGCAGTTTGTGTTATGGTTCTTTTGGCATCCAGCCATCAAGGCCATGAGGTGGCGTGCCTCAGTTTCCCCCTTCACACAGCAAACCAGATTTGTTATGTTTTTTCTGCTGTGGTGAGGTTTAAATCTGTTTACAGGTATTAACTGAGAAGCAGCGTTCTCAGAAAAATGTCTTGCTATTACAGGTGTCCCCAATTACCATTTCTAGCGTGTCCCAAGGCTCTGCCCCAAAATTGTGCATAATGGATCTTCTCACAAGGTTTAACACTGGTATCAAAATTCTTATCCCAAGACTTAACATTAATATCGGCATGTTTATATCAGCTGGGCTGATACCACGGCCTCTGTTCCGAGAGTCTGGTTCGAGGTTGGTTTGTTCATTACGCATGGTGTCCTTTGACTCCCTCCCATGTAATCAGTCCCTGGCTTTTCTTTCCCTCCCTCCAGTGTTCCCTTCTGCCTGGGTTCTTATTTTAAGCATTGGATTTTGGTACCTCAGGGTCTGGCAAGACAGGGATTCAGGGGGATCCTGCACGTGGGTTGGCCCTTTGGCAGGGCCGGCTCCAGGCACCAGCCTGGCAAGCAGGTGCTTGGGGCGGCCGCTCTGGAGAGGGGCAGCATGTCCAGCTATTCGGCGGACGGTCCCTCACTCCCGCTCGTAGCGAAGGACCTTCCGCCGAATTGCCGCCGCAGATCCCGATCGTGGCTTTTATTTTTATTTTTTGGCTGCTTGGGGCGGCCAAAACCCTGGCGCCGGCCCTGCCCTTTGGGGAGCTGTCTCCCAACCCCAGGACTGTACAAATGCAAAACACCCAGCACTGAGTCCTTTCCTACCCCCTTTTCCCAGAGGGCTGTTATCTGTGCTCGCTGGGCTAGGTGCGTTTACCCTTTGATCAGATTCACGCTTTCCCATAACGGCGCTCTGTGTCTCACCAGCCTGTGGCAAAACACTCCCCTTTTCTGTCAGTTGGGTCATTTATAGTCTGGGAAATTACCACCTGGCCATTTCCTGGTACTAATTCCTCTCTTATCACAGGCATGGGAGCTGCATCTTGATTTAAAGAGACACAGTTACTTTCCAAAAACTGATCAGAAATAGCATCCCGAAAAACTGGGACCTGGATTGGGGTACCCTCCGCCACCCCTTTCTCTATCCCTGAGAAGTCAGCTGTGTGGCTGCTCCCCTCCAAGAGGTCGGTTACACCATTCCCTCTTAATACCTGGGTCACAGGCTGTGTGCCTGGGTGCACAGATGTTGGCCCAGCCATTCAGTCCTGGGCATCCTCTCCCGAGTGACCACTGAGGAGACATTCCTGTATCCCCACTATTCCTTCCCCAGTTTCCTCCTCTGGGCCCTCTTCTAAAACACCTCTCTCTGTGCTCCCTAGGAAGGGATCTGTCTCTCGTTCAGCTGCAGAACTCTGCCAGCTATCAACTGGGATAGTTTCCTTAATCACTGACAACCCCTCTCCTGCTCCCAATCCTGAGGGCATGCTGCCTTCTGCTGGAAAGGAGCTAGTCTCGAACCCTCCCATACTTGGAAGCACCCTGCTTCCCTGTGTTAGAGTCACAGGAATCCTCACCCACCTCAGTGGTTTCTGAGATCCCCTGTCCCTTCTCTGGGCTCCCCTCTGGGACACGTTGCTCTCTGCTCCCTAGTGCCGGGTCTGTCTCTGGTTCTTCTGCAACCTGCTGGCAGCTAACAACCTGGACAGTTCTCTCCGGGACAGGCATAACACCCCCATCCCTTCCTGGTGTGGCGTTGCCTCCAGCTGCAGTGCAGGAATTGGTCTCAGCCACCCTCCCCCCCCCGGAAGCATGTGGCTTCCCCCAGTTGCAGAGGAGTCAAAGAGACTCTCCCCTATTCCCTCAGCAGTTCCTGAGACCTTCCCCTTTCCCTCAGGGCTCCCAGCACAACACTCCCTCCTGCCTCAGGCAAATACTTTAACCTGAGCGACACGGAAAAAATCCTTATCCGGAAGCAGTTCGACTAGGAGTTGTTCCATTACCCCCACGGTCAAAACATTTTCCAAACCTTCCCACTCCACATGGATATTAGCTAGTGGGATGAGGAATCTGCTTTCCCCCACCCCCACCATCTCTGCCCTTTGGCCCCGTAATACACTAGCCTGTGGGACCACACTCTGCTTAACCAGACATATCTGGGCCCCTGTATCCTTCTGCCCCAAGCATTCCCTGCCATTCATTCTGACAACCTTAACGTGCTTCCTATCCGGTTCTGCTAATCTCACAAAACCAGCGTGATCGGTTTCAATGGCCTGGGGGTTTCTGTGTGGCGGACGGCAAAACTAACACGAGCTATTCTTTGCCTTCTTCCTCCTAGCATAGGGCATTTATTCCTCAGGGGATCAGCGGCATTTCACGGCTGGTCCCTTTTGGGCTCTTCTGTTTTTACAGGATATTTGGGCTGAGGGTTAGAGGAATGGTTTTGGGGAGGTCAGTGCCCAGCCACTCTCCTTTCTGCTAGAGATAAAACGGGATCCTCCCTCCCCACCGGGTTTAAACCCCTCTTTTGGTGGTTTGCTTTCAGTAGACACCTGGGTCCATTCAAAGGCATCAGCGAGAGATGTCGCCTCCGCCACAGACTTTACATCTTTGTCCCATAGACTCTGCTTTCCATCAGCCTTACACAGGCCTAGGAAATGTTCTTGAGGAACCGGAGCAAACATCCCCTCAAAGCTTGTAAAACCTCTGCCCCTCACCCACTTGCCCATCAAATCTTTCATTTTTTTCTCATATTTCCCATTACTCAGACCAATATCCCTCTTAAGATTCCTAAATTTAACTCTCTATATGTCCCAACTAGAAAGGGAAGGGTAACAACCCTCCTGTGTACAATACTATAAAATCTCTCCTGGCCAGAGGTACCAAAATCCTTTTACCTATAAAGGGTTAAGAAGCTCAGGTAACCTGGCTGACACCTGACCCAAAGGACCAATAAGGGGACAAGATACTTTCAAATCTTGGGGGGAGGGCTTTTGTTTGTGTGCTCTTTGTTTTTGGTGGTGGTCGCTCTTAGGACTAAGAGGGACCGGACATCAATCCAGGCTCTCCAAATCTTTCTGCACAAGTCTCTCATACTTCAAACTTGTAAGTAACAGCCAGGCAAGGCGTGTTAGCTTTATCTTTGTTTTCTCAACTTGTAAATGTTCCTTTTTCTAGAGGTTTACCTCTATTTGCTGTAACTTTGAACCTAAGGCTAGAGGGGGTTCCTCTGGGCTCTTTGAATCTGATTATCCTGTAAAGTTATTTTCCATCCTGATTTTACAGAGATGATTTTTTACCTTTTCTTTTAATAAAATTCTTCTTTTAAGAACCTAATTGATTTTTTCATTGTTTTAAGATCCAAGGGTTTGGATCTGTGTTCACCAGGGCTAATTGGTGAGGGGATATTCTCAAACCTTCCCAGGAAAGGGGGTGTAGGGGCCTGGGGGAAATTCTTCTCAAGCCTGCCCAGGAAAGGGGGTTTAGGGATGTGACGGTGCTGCCCGTGGGAGCCAGCTGAGGTCACTCAATCGGTGAACTGCAAACAAAACGGGGCAGACAAGCCCCAAACGCTGGTGGATGTTCCAATACTTAGATTTACCAACCAGCACAAAGCAGCTTCTATGGTATCTCCCTGGTTACTCAGAAATCCAAACAACGCAGTTCCCTTAAAGTGCCCAGCCTCGGGCCTCCGTCCAGACACACCTGTCAGATATGATGATGATTACTGAAAATCTGATCTCATCATATAAAAGAAAAGGTTCTTCCAACCCCAAAGGATCAGCCACACACCCAGGTCCAATTATAACTTAGATCTTACCCAAAATACACACTAATAGCCAATTCTTATTAACTACGCTAACATTTATTAAACAAGAAAAGAGAGAGAGTGTTTGGTTAAAAGATCAATATACATACAGACTAGAATTCAATTCTTGAGGTTCAGATACATAGCAGAGGGGAGCATGTAGTTGCCAAAAGTCCTTTTAGAAATAGTCCATAGGTTATAGTTCAATGTCCATATTCAGGGTGGCTCCAGTCAAAGACTGGGGATCTCAATCCTTGTGGCTTAAGGTTTTCCCCCTCTTGAACCCCAAGCAGATCTGAGATGCAGCAGGATCATGTCCCAGAGTTCTTATACATTTCCAGCAGCCTTTCGGCCTGAGAAAACAATAGGCTTAATTCTCCTTCTCTCAAACATCCTGGCAATTAGCACATGGTAATTTATCCATTAAACAGTTCAGATCCAGGTTACCACGACCTTCAAAGAGACATATAAACAATAATACTATTTCACTCAAGTATCATCATAAATGTTAATATTCCTTTTTTGATTTTTGAATTTAAAACTATAGCAATAGACAAGACTTGTTTGCTTACCTCACAAGCCCTAAGCAAACATCTACCCTTTTACCTCTAACAATGCAGACTTGCATTTCAAAGCTCTATTCATTTACCTATCTTCCTAACCAGTTTCTACAATTCACCCATGGGTCAGGTCAGTCTGAGTTAATTAACTCTTTCTGGCACTGTCACCTTTCAATGAAATACTATTTTACACTCGTAACATCACAAGGGACTTGGGAGATATTTGGGGAAAGGCAGAGTTCCAAGTGGCTCTCCATAAATATTTGGTTAAAACGCTTGGTGGTGGCAGCGTATTTTTAACCTAACCTGGTAAAAATAAGCTTAGGGGGTCTTTCATGCGGGTCCCCACATCTGTACCCTAAAGTTCAGAGTGGGGAGGGAACCTTGACACTATATTTCAGTGGGAATCAGAAACCTTTGCAAAACAGTCTTTTTGAATTTACAATAGTCTAAAGCAGGGGTCGGCAACCTTTCAGAAGTGGTGTGCCGAGTCTTCATTTATTCACTCTAATTTAAGGTTTCGCGTGCCAGTCATACATTTAAACGTTTTTAGAAGGTCTCTTTCTATAAGTCTATAAAATAGAACTAAACTATTGTTGTATGGAAAGAACATAAGGTTTTTAAAATGTTTAAGAAGCTTCATTTAAAATTAAATTAAAATGCAGAGCCCCCCGGACCGGTGGCCAGGACCCGGGCAGGGTGAGTGCCACTGAAAATCAGCTCACGGGCTGCCTTTGACACGTGTGCCATAGGTTGCCTACCCCTGGTCTAAAGCATCTTCAATAGGCATTTCACTGAACACATTCAGAGCTTTACCAGTTAATTTTGCAGTCAGGGTAGGAACTCTCTTATCATCAGGGATTTCATGCACTGCTCACGGCCTTTCCACGGTGGTCAGATATTCAGCCAGATCATCTACCTCACTGTATGCAAGACAAAAGTGGTCCCAACTGTGGATTTTTGGAGGGATGGGAATCGCTGGGGTCGGTGAGTTCTGGTTCTGCTTCTCTAGCCGATTCAGGAGGTGTTCACTCTCTTTCTCTTTCCTTCTCCTTTATCTACAGTTCTTTCAGGTCAATCATTGAATATCAGGGTTGGAAGAGACCTCAGGAGGTATCTAGTCCAACCCCCTGCTCAAAGCAGGACCAATCCCCAACTCAATCAGTTGCAATAGTCTCTGGTGCTCTCTCTCTCTTTTTCTGCGACCTGCAGTCTAAAAAGCTCCAACTGCGCAGTCGCTTCACCGCCTTCACTCATTTTCCGGCTTCTCTGTCCCCACTTCCCTTTCCCGAAATAAGCAAACAGAAAATAACAAACCGGTAGCCACCTCCTGACTGTCCTTAGCCACCACCCTTAAAGCCGCCCGTACAATCTTTACACCCGTGTATGAAATGCAAATCTTGCTCAGTACAACAAGCTGTGTATTTCACCCCGCTCGCTTCGCCACTGTGATGGGATCCCCGGGGTGCACCACTGTGCCCCCTTTTCTCCCCTGGGGTGTAGAGTATCCGAGCAGTGCTGCCTTCGGAGCTGGACTCCTGGCCAGCAGCCACCGTTCTCCGGCCGCCCAGGTCTGAAGGCAGTGCCGCCACCAGCAGCAGCGCAGAAGTAAGGGTGGCAATACTGCCACCCCTCTACAATAACCCCCCCCCCACACACACACACACACACACCCATTTTGGGGTCAGGACCCCCACAGTTACAGTACAGTGACATTTCAGATGTAAATAGCTGAAATCATGACATTTACCATTTTAAAAATCCTATGACTGGGAAATTGGTAGGGCCCTAGAAATAAGGCGTTGCCCTTCTGTTCCCAGTGGAGGACAATTCGACTGCGGCCGAGCTGTACAGCAAGGTGCGGATCCTGTGCTGGGTCATGACGGGCCCCAGCAACCTGGAGACCAAGGCCCGGCACGTCCAGGCCACGTGGGCGCGGCACTGCAATGTGGTGCTGTTCATGAGTTCGGTGCGGGATGACGGCTTCCCCGCCGTGGGGCTGGATGTCAAAGAAGGCCGGGACCAGCTGTACTGGAAAACCATCCGGGCCTTCCAGTACGTCCACCAGCACCACCTGGAGCAGGCCGACTGGTTCCTCAAGGCGGACGACGACACCTTCGTGGTGCTGGACAACCTGCGCTGGCTGCTGGCCAACCACACGCCTGAGGAGCCCGTCTACTTCGGGAAGCGCTTCAAGCCCTTCGTCAAGCAGGGCTACATGAGTGGCGGGGCCGGCTACGTCCTCAGCAAGGAGGCCCTGAGGCGCTTCGTGGAGGGCTTCAGGACCCAGGTGTGCACTCACACCAGCCCAGTGGAGGACCTGGAGCTGGGCAAGTGCATGGAGAAGATGGGGGTGCAGGCAGGGGACTCCCGGGACACCAAGGGGCAGGAGACCTTCCACCCCTTCCCCCCAGAGAGGCACTTGATGGAGAATCTCCGGCTTGATCGCTATTATCCCACCTACTCCTTCTACCCCATCCTGCTGGTGAGTGTCCGGGAGTCCCGGCTCAGGGCGGGAGTGGGGGGCAGCCGACAGGTGGGTGGCCCGGTCAGAGGAATACTGGGCCTCGTAGCTCTTAAGACCAGACCGTCATGGTCCCATGATTCCCAGCACTGTTCTTGGCTCTGCCCACCAGCCCGGCTCCGCCCACTCACTACAGATGGTGCTGATGCTGCTGTGTGGATGCTGCGGGGCTCGATGTCCTGCTCTGTCCTCCCACTTCCCCCCAGTGCTGGCGGGGCCACATGAGCCTGCTACAGCCTTGGCCAACAGATCTGGGTCTGCTGGCTCATGCGTTTAGATCAAGCGGTCCTGGGTTTGATCCCCATGACCCAGCCGGTCGGCTTCAAGGCCAGTGGAGACCCCCATGAGCCACGTGCTGAATCTCTGCTTAACCCAGGCCGGAGAAAGTCATCCAGCGGTTGAGGTGTGCACCCCTTCGCAGGCCCTTGGGGGGCAGGATTCTGTCTCTTACTGCGGTCCAGATCAGCTGTTTTCCCCCACTTATAAGCTCTCCGACCCCCGGGGCAGGTTTCTTTCCTAGCACAGTTGGTTCAATTCACATAGTCGTGTTCTCTAGCAGGGCTGAGCCACCATCTCTCCATCGGGGCGTTGTCTGAGCTGTGCTCCGTGTGACGGAGCTGTTTCTAAACCGCTGATAAAGGGTTCACAACAGCAGACCAGGCCTTTGAATAAATAGCGATGCCAATATTAGCACCACCAACACGCATCTCGTAACGCTGACGAGCTTCTAACCACCTATCACTCATGGAGCAACTTGGTTATAACATAAACGAATCCTTTATAGCCAGACCCTTAATAGGCTGTAAGAGCCAGTAGCGTGACTAATGGTCCCTCTTAGTCACCGGCTCGTTAGGGTAAAACATTTCTGCCTTGCTGGGCTTTCTCCAGACCGGGCTGTGAGTGTATTAGTAGGGGAGAGGGATAGCTCAGTGGTTTGAGCATTGGCCTGCTAAACCCAGGGTTGTGAGTTCAATCCTTGAGGGGGCCACTTAGGGATCTGGGGCAAAATCAGTACTTGGTCCTGCTAGTGAAGGCAGGGGGCTGGACTCAATGACCTTTCAAGGTCCCTTCCAGTTCTAGGAGATGGGATATCTCCATTAATTTAAATTTAATTGTATAAGAACGGCCACACTGGGTCAGACCAACGGCCCATCTAGCCCAGTATCCTGTCTTCCGACAAGTATCAGGGGGTCGCCGTGTTAGTCTGTATCTACAAAAACATCAAGGAGTCTGGTGGCACCTTAAAGACTAACAGATTGATTTGGGCATAAGCTTTCGTGGGTAAAAACCTCACTTCTTCGGATGCATAGAGTGAAAGTTACAGCTGCAGGCATTATATACTGACACATGGAGAGCAGGGAGTTACTTCACAAGTGGAGAACCAGTGTTGACAGGGCCAATTCAATCAGGGTGGATGTGGGCCACTCCCAATAACGGATGAGGAGGTGTCAATTCCAGGAGAGGAAAAGCTGCTTCTGTAATGAGCCAGCCACTCCCAGTCCCTATTCAAGCCCAGATTAATGGTGTTGAATTTGCAAATGAATTTTAGTTCT